CAGGCAGTCAGCATCACTGAGGGCCCTGTGACAGGCAGTCAGCATCACGGAGGGGAGTGGGTGAGGTGAGGGCCCTGTGACAGGCAGTCAGTATCATTGACAGGAACTGGCACATTGAGGCCTCTGTGACAGGCAGTCAACTTCACTGAGAAGAGAGGGTGAGGTGAAGACTGTGTGACAGGCAGTCAGCGTCACTAGGAGAGGGTGAGTTGAGGACCATGTGGTAGGCAGTCAGCATCACTGAGAAGAACTGGCAAGGTGAGGGCCCTGTGAAAGCCAGTCTGCATCAGTGACACCAAAGGGGATGGCAATGGCCTAGTAGTATTATCGTTGGATTGTTTGGAGGACCCGGGTTTGAATACCACCATGGCAGATGGCGGAATTTGAATTCAATAAAATAAATCTGGAATTAAGAGTTTAGTGATGACCATGAAACCATTGTCGATTGTCGGAAAAACCCATCTGGTTCACTTATGTCCTTTAGGGAAGGAAAATGCCATTCTTACTGGTCTGGCCTACATGTGACTCCAGACCCACAGCAATGTGGCTGACTCTGAACTGCTCTCTGGGCAATTAGGGGTGGGCAATAAATGCTGGCTTAGCCAGTGACGCGCTTATCCCATAAATGAATTAAAAAAAAGAGATAAAGCCACAGTGGGTGAGGTGCTCAAGTCAGTGGGAGAGAAAGAGAGATGAGAGAAGGAAGGCAATGGTGGTAGGAGATTCCCAAGGCATTGGGACCATTCACTGGGGAGGTGGAACCCATACAGCTTGGATGGGTTACATCGTCACAGGGAGGTTTGTTAATGCTGTTGCGGGGGGCAGATTAATTACTAGATTGGTGGTTAATGGGATCCTGAAAAGTTGTTCGGATGGAAGAGAAACTGAGAATGGAATTGAAAGTTAAAATGCTGGTAAGTGAAAGGCGGAGAGAACATAGCTAAATAAGAAAAGTGAGTTTGGCAAAGCTAGATGGAGTTTTTTTAATGCAAGGAGTCTGAGGAATAAGACAGATGGGCTGAAGGCACAGAGAGGCACATCGGAGCATTGATATCATTGCTATGACCAAGACTTGGCACAAGGGTGTGTGGGAGTGGCAGCTCAACATTCCTGATTACAGGGTATTTAGACAAGGTAGAGATAGAGTATGAAGAGGAACATTCATCAATGAATCAATTACGGCAGTGAGGAGGGTTTATATGTTGGAAGGGTCATCAAGTGAAGCTATATGGGAAAAGTAAGAAATATAAAAGGAACAAACACGCTGTTGGTTGTGTACTATAGGCTCCCAAATAGTCAGAAAGAGATTTAGGACCAAATATGTATTCAAATTTCAGAGCTGTGTATGAACAATAAGGCCATAACAGCAGAGGACCTTAGAAGGTCTTTTGATAAGGCAGACTGGTCAAGGAAGTAAGAATCAATGGGATCCAGTCATAGAAACACCCCTCTACCATCATTCCTCTGGGCTCCGTGCTGGTGCCCTTGATGTTTTGGATGTACATTCATCAGCTGTTTTGTCAATGACCTTCCCTCCATCATAAGGCCAGAAGCAGGGATGCTTGCTGATGACTGCACAAAGTTCAGCACCAATTGCGACTCGTCAGAAACCGAAGCAGTCCATGTTCAAATGCAACAAGACAACTGGGACAACATTCCAGACTGGGCTGACAAGTGGCTAGTAACACAAGTGCCAGGAAATGACCGTCTCCAAAAAGAAACAATCTAACCATTGCACCTTGACATTCAATGGTGTTACCATCACTGAATCCCCCAACATCAACTCCTAGGGGTTACCATTGACCAGAATTGGGCTCACCATATAAATACAGTGGCTACAACAGCAGCTCAGAGATTAGGAAGACTGCAGCAGGTAACTCACTTCCCGACTCTCCAAAATCTGGCCACCATCTACAAGGCACGAGTTAAGAGTCTGATGAATGCAGCTTCAACAATATTCAAGAAGTTTGACACCAGCTAGCACAAAGCAGCTCACTTGAGTGACACTATATCCAAAAGCATCCACTCCCTCCATCACTGACACTCAGTAGTAGCAGTGTGTCCTATTTACAATATGCACTGCAGTTCACCAAGGTTCTTTAGACAGCACCTTCCAACGGCATGACTACTTCCATCCAGAAGGACAAGAACAACAGATACATGGGAACACCAACCCCTGCAAGTTTCCCTCCAAGTTGCTTTCCTGACCTCGAAACGTATCATCATTCCTCCACTGTCACTTGGCCTGGAATTCCCTTTCTAACAGCTTTGGGAGTCCACCTTCAGCACACAGACTGCAGCAGCTCAAGAAGGCTGCTCACCACCTCCTTCTCAACGGCAACTGGGGTGGACAATAAATGCCTGCCAGTCTATGATGCCCATGTTCCGGAAGTGAATAAAAAAACATTAATGATGTGGACTGAAATGCAGGCAGTATGATCAAGAAGATTGCAGATTACACAAAAAGTGTTAGGGATAGCCATAAATTGCAGTGGCAAATGGAAGTCAACCTGGAAAAGTGTGAAGTGATGTGTTTTGGGAGTGCTGATAAGGTAAGGGATTACAGTATGAATGGCATAACCTGGAGAAATCAAAGGTACTGGCCTGTGCATATCCACAGACACCTGATGATAGCAGGTGGTTATAAGAAGGCATATGGAATACTTGCCTTTATTAGTAGAGTCATAGAATAGAAGGTTAAGGAGGCTAACTTGGAACTGTATAAAATGCAACTAGAGTACTGTGTGCAGTTCTAGTCACTGTATTATAGGAAGAATGTGATTGTACAGGAGAGGGTGCAGAGGAGATTTACCAGGATGCTGCCTGCACTGGAGAATTTGAATAGGAAAGATTTGACAGCTTGAGGTTGTTTTCCTTGGAGTAATGAAGACTGAGGGGCCACGATGGTGGGAGATTATGATGAACATAGACAGGGTGGGTAATAACACATTTTAATAACAGGAAAGGGGGGGCATAGATTTAATTTAAATAGTTAGAAGGTGAGAGGAGAGTTGAAGGAATTGTTTTTCACTCAGAGGATGTTGGGAGTCTTGAATTCACTGCCTGAAAGTGTGGTTGAGTTAGAAACTCTTGCAATATTTGAGAAATATTTAGACATTCACTGTGTTGCAATAGTCTCCAGGACTATGGGCCATTAGCTGGAAAGTGGGTTAGTGTAGTTAGATCTTTGTGGACGACTGTGAACATAATGGACGAAATGGCTCATTCTATTTTGGTAAAGTCTATGAAGATGTAATCCTCACCATGCAGGCTGTGCTGATCCCGTTTTTTCCACTCAATGGAAACAGCAGACATAGTTCCATGTGAGCGTTCCTCATCGCTGCTCTCCTCCTCAGAGTGCCGTGGGTGCTGGTTCCCATTGTTGCTTCCATTGTTAATACTTTTCATCCTGGTACCACGGGACAGGATTCCTGCTGAACCCGACTTTTCCATCATTACCGGCATCGCTGTGGGAGCTGAGGAAGGAAATAGACAGAAAAAATGTAAGAAAGTTATATCCTGAATACATCTTCACACTGCTTTGTGATAGGAAGGAAAGGGGACACAGGTTCAAAGGGCAACAATTCAATACTGAGGACAGTACTACAGCGTTGAGCAGAAGTGTAGGGTGAGTGTTACTAGTCACCCAAAGGCAGCCATTACCTGGCCACATGGCAAATTAATCTCAGAAATATCCTTCAAAAACTGTGGCCAACGAAAAATATTTTTAAAATGTGCTATTGGACATTGCTTATTTTCATCCACCAAGGAAAAGCAGTGGTTGATGGAGGAGTGCTGCTCTGTCAGAAGATCAATGCTGAGGGAACACTGCTCTCTTGGAGGGTAGTGCTGAGGGAATGCAGCGCTGCTGATTGTCAGTACTAAGAGAACGTCACACTATCGGAGGGTCAGTACTGAGAAACACAGCATTGTTGCAGAGTCAATACCGAGGCAATGCAAAACCCATACCCCCCAACAGCCACATCACCAACCCAAACACATCCTAATTCTGTGTGTAAGCACTAATCCCTAAAACCCCTAAATATTTCAGCAGGGCCATTCCGTGTTATTTACTAGACAGTATTTCCTCAACAGACAATTTAGCCCCTCTCATATGTCACCTATCATGACCAAATTGTCAGCTAATCTCCCAAAACATAACTTAGCTGTCCGCTTTGATACTCCGTCACAATGGATGAGAAAGGTGACAGGCTTGATGCTGTGGACTGATCCGGGTTAAGCTGACCTGCTGAAATGGCATAAAAGCTTCACTTCGCCCCTCTTTCTGAGTTAAAGATGTGGGAGATATCTACGGGATCGTCCTGCAGCTGAATAACGCCTAATGGCTAACACTGTTGGATTCAGCTTCTTTGTGATGCCAGTTGAATGGCTCAATGGCATTCAATTTCCAAGTCTTAAAGAATGAACAGTGGGAGAAGGTTACAGATCTCACTAGCTTATCTCTGATCTCAACAGCTATCCACACACACAAAATATATTTAGCAAGGCTTCTTGACTACCTGTCAAGCACAGGGACAATGGCTGATTACTACCATTCTCTATTCCAGGCGTATTCCAAGTCACCTTAATTTAGCAGACAAGAAAGGTAAATTGGAGCATATTCTAAATGTTGAGAAAATGATTCAAAAACTTAAGTGTCTAAGTACATACGTGTTTAAAAAGTTGTTGATTTATACAAAAGGAACGAAAAGGGTTAATGGAATGGTTCATGGAAAAATAGATGACATAGATTATTGAAACATATGTGGCGAAGAAGACATCAGGAGGTTTCAGACTGACAGAGTGGGTGAAAATCTGGCAGTTGGAAACCATAAAGACTGTTTCTTTTCATTTTCCTGCATTTTTGACTCAGGACTGGAATGGAAACAAAAATGGTTTTAAAAACCAAGGATTGTGGAAAGGATTACTGTACTTTTTAAAAAGTAGGGCACCGCCAGAGGACGTGGTAGATACAGGTAGAGTTACAACATTTAAAAGACATTTGGACAGGTACATGAATAGGAATGGTTTAGAAGGACATTTGCCAAAACCAGGAAAATGGGGCTAGTTTAGTTGGGGTAAACGCTATATGAATTTATGACTCTGTTTACACTGCTGTTTGTTCAAGCAATGGAGAACGTTTAGTTGCAGGCCAGCTAGGACCAGGACTGCGTATGAAATAAGATTGAGCCCGCAAAAATAGCTGATTGCTTTGTGGAATGGTGACCAACTGTTGATGTCAAAGGCCCTCTGCCAGCCAATAACTATATGTTTGGCTCCCAGGTAGATGAACAACTTGTAGGTGTGAAATGTTTGGTTAGAAGCCATCGGACCAAAGGAAGGTGCTTTTCTCTGAAACAAAAAACAGCTGAAGCCTGAAGAAAGCCAGTTTATTTCCCCTCGTCAGCGTAAGCTGTGGTTTTCAACCACTATGTTGGTGACTTTAATCAGTGTGAACCAACCACTTTGCAAGCAAGAGAAAATGCCTGAAGAAGAAAGATCAAGGAGCAGCAAATCCTGACAAGCCAAGAAAAGATCTCAGCAAACCCTATGGACAGGGACCATTCCCAGTCTTTTCCTTCATCCATAACACCCATTTTTTTTGGGTCTGTCTATCTGGGTCTTTGGGTCTTTGTGTTGGGCAGTTTATAAGGGGCTTAAAGTTTTAACTAGTAGAGTTATAGAAACATAGAAAATAGGTGGAGTAAGCCAGTCAGCCCATCGAGCCTACGCCATCAATCAATATAATCATGGCTGATGTGCAATCTCAGTATCCCATTCCCACTTTCTCTCCATACCCCTTGATCCCTTTTGCCACAAGGACCACATCCAGCTCCCTCTTAAATACATCTAACGAACTCGTCCCATCAGCTTTTTATAATAGAGAATTCCACAGGTTCACAACTCTCTGAATGAAGAAATTATTCTTCATCTCAGTCCTGAAAGGCTTAATTCTTATTCTTAAGACTGTAATCCCTAGTTCGGGACTTTCCCAACATCGGGAACATTCTTCCCGCATCTAACCTGTCCAGTCCCTTCAGGATTTTACATGTTTCTACGAGATGCCCCCTCATTCTTCTAAGTTCTAGCGAATACAAACATAGTCGATCCAGTCTTTCTTCATATGTCTGTCCTGCCATCCCGGGAATCAGTCTGATGAACCTTCTCTAGACTCCCTCAATAGCAATAATGTCCTTCCTCAGACTAGGAAACCAAAACTGCACACAGTACTCAATGTGTGGCCTCACCAAGACCCTGTATAACTGCAACAAGACATTCCCTACTCCTATACTCAAATCCTCTTGCTTCGAAGGCCATGATGCCATTAGCTTTTCTAACTGCCTGCTGCACCTGCATGCCAACCTTCAGCGACAGTTCCACCATGGGTCTTATTGAACCTTACCTTTTCCTAAACTGCCACCATTCAGATAATAATCTGCCTTCCTATTTTTGTGACCAACATTGATAATCTCACATTTATCCACATTATATTGCATTTGCCAGGTATTTGCCCACTCAGCCAGTCTGTCCAAGTTACCCTGCAGCCTCTTAGCATCCTCCTCCCAGTACACAATGCCACCCAACTTAGTATCATCTGAAAATTTAGAGATATTACATTCAATTCCTTTGTCCAAATCGTTACTGTATATTGTGAACAGCTGGGATCCGAGCACTGAATCCCACGGTACCCCACTCGCCACTGCCTGCCACTCTGAAAAGGATCCATTTATTCCAACTCTCTGCTTCCTGTCTGCCAACCAGTTGTCTATCCACGTCAATACATTACCTCTAATACCATAAGCTTTAAATTTTCCTGCTAATCTCTTGTATGAAACCTTGTCAAAAGATTTTTGACAGACCAGATACACAACATCTATAGATTCACCTTTGTCCACCCTACTGGTCACATCTTCAAAAAAATTCCAGAAGATTTGTCAAGCATGATTTCCCTTTAGTGAATCCATGCTGACTTGAACCAATTCTGTCACCGCTTTCCAATTGCTCAGTTATTAGATCCTTAATAATTGACTCCAGCATTTTCCCTGCCACCGATGTCAGGGTAACCGCCCTTTAATTCCCGTTTTTCTCTCTTCCTCCATTTTTTTTAAAAAGTGGGGTTACATTAGCGATCCTCCAGTCCATTGGAATTTTCCAGAGTCTATAGAACGGTGGAAAATGATCACCAATGCTTCCGTTATTTCTAAGGCCAATTCCTTAAGTACTATGGGACTTATCGGGTTTTAATCTCATCAATTTACCCAATACCATTTCGTGATTAATAAGGATTTTCTTCAGTTCTTCCTTCATGCTTGGCCCTCTGTCCCCCAGCATTTCTGGAAGGTTATTTGTGTCCTCCTTAGTGAAGACAGATCCAAAATATTTGTTCAATTGTTCTGCCATCTTTGTTGTCCATTATGAATTCACCTGACTCTAAATGCAAGGACTTACATTTGTCTTCACCAGTCTTTTTCTCTTCACATATCTTGAGAAGGTTTTGCAGTCTGCAAACCTACTTTCATATTCTATTTTCTCCTTCTGAATTAAACCTTTTGTCCTCCTCTGTTGAATTTTAAATTTTTCCCAGTCCTCAAGTTTGCTGCTTTTTCTGGTCAATTTATATGCCTCCTCTTTGGCTTTAACACTATCCCTGATTTCCCTTGTTAGCCATGGTTGAGCGACCTTCCCTGTTTTACTCTTACGCCAGACAGGGATGTACAATGGTTGAAGCTGATCCATGTGTTCTTTAAATGTCTGCTATCGCCTATCCGTCGTCAACCCCTTAAGTATCCTTGGCCAGTTTATCCTAGCCAATGCATGCCTCATACCATCAAAGTTAACTTTCTTTAATTTAAGGACCCTAGTCTCAGATTTAACTGTGTCACTCTCCATCTTAATGACGAAAGATCCTCTACCTAGAATCTAATTATTCGTAATAAATAGTAATTCTTCGAGTCAAAAGAAGTAGGTACAGAATGTGATTAAGAATACTCATGGAATGCTTTCTTTGAATACAAGAGAAACTGAACACAAAGGAAGGATGTCATGTTTCATTTGTACAGGGCATTAGGAGAACACACTTTTGGTCTCCTTACTTAAAAGGAGAATGTAAACGTATTGGGGATGGTTCAAAGATATTTGGTGTTATGAGGAAATGCTGAACAGTCTGTGCTTGTTTCCACATTGGTTTAGAAGAGTGACAGGTGATTTGAGTGTATAAGATCCTGACCAGTCTTGACAAAGTGTAAGTGGAAAGGAGATGTTCCCTCTTATGGATGACTCCAGAACTAGAGGGCACTGTTTAAAAATTAGGGGTCACCCTTTTGGACAGAGATGAGGAGCAATTTACTATCTGACAGTGAGAAACTTTGGAACTCTCTGCCTCAGAAGGTGAGACAGGCAGGGTTATTGCAATGCTTTTAATACATTCATGTGATCTGGGCTTCACCAGCATTTATTACTCATTCCAAGGTGCCTTTAAGATGGTGAATGTGAGCTTCTTTCATGAACCACTGCAGTCCATTTGGTTTATATATAACTACAACATTATTCGGGAGGGATTTCCAGAATTTGACCCACTGCCATTAAAGGAACAGCAATATATTTCCAAGTCAGGATGGTGAGTGACTTGGAAGGGAACTTGCGGATGATGGCGCTCCCACGTTATCAGCTGCCCTTGTCCTTTTAAATGGTCAAGGTTCTGGGTTTGGAAAGGGCTGTCTAAGGTGCATTGGTGAATTGCTGCAATGTATCTTGTAGACAGAACACGTTGCTGCTACGGAACATCAGTGGTGGAAAGAATGGATGTTGTGGATATAGTGCAAATCAAGTGGGCTGCTTTGTCCTGAATAGTATCATATTGTTTCAGCTGCACTCATCCAGGCAAGAAAGGAGTATTCCATCGCACTCCTGACTTGTGCCTTGTTATAGAGTCATGGAGTCATACAGTACAGAAAATGTCCTTCGGCTCATTGAGTCTGCACCAACAATAACTCCCACGAAAGACATGCTAATCCCAATCTCCTGTTACAATATTTGAAGTGCTCATCTAAATTTTTTTTAAGGGTTGTAATGCTTCCAGCCTCCACTACCTTCTCAGGCATTGCATTCCCGGTTCCCACCACCCTCCGAGTGAAAAGGTTTTTTTCTCAAATCCCTTCTGAATCTCCCGCCCCTTACCCTAAAACTATGCCCCTTCGTGACTGATCCCTCAACCAACAGGGACAGCTGTTCCTTACTCACCCTGTCTATACTCCTCATATCATACTCCTCAGTCATGTCCCTCCTCAGCCTTCTCTGCTCTAAAGAAAACAATCCAAGCCTATCTAATCTCTCCATATAGCTCAATTTCTCCATCCCACATAACATCCTGCTCAATCTCCTCTGTACCCCCTCTAATACTAACACATCGTTCCTGAGTAAGTACTCCAGCTGTGACCTAAACACCACTGTACAACTCTAACATTACCTCCCTGCTCTTATACTCTATGCCACGACTGATGAAAGCAAGTGTCCCATATGCCTTCTTAACTATCCTATCCATGTGCTCTGCTGACTTCAGGAATCTGTGAATGATTATCCCAAGATCCCCCTGAGTGACCCAATGTCCTGCCATTCATTAAATACTCCCTCATTTTGTTTCTTCTTCCAAAATGCATCAACTCACAGAGTTAAGTACCATCTACCACTCATCTGCCCATCTGACAACTCATCTAAATCTTCTTCACTATTAACCACCCTACCAATCTTGGTGTTGTCTGCAGACTTGCTTAACATTCCCTCCAAATTTTTCATCAATACCATTTTGTGTCCTATCATTAAACCAGTTTCTGATCCATCTTGCAAAGTTTCCCTGAATTCCATGTTCTTTAATCTTCTCAACCAGTCTCCCATTTTGTACCTTGTGAAAAGCTTTGCTAAAATCCATATAAACCAAATCAACTGAACATCCCTCATCCACACACTTGATCGCATTTTTGAAAAATTCTCATAAATTTGTTAGGCATGACCTCGCTCTGACAAAGCCATACTGACTATCCTTAATTAACCTATTCTTTTCCAAATGAATATTAATTCCATCCTTCAGAATTTTCTTCAATACTTTCCCTACCATTATTGATTGTGGATAGGCTCTGGGGAGTCAAGAGGTGAGTTACTTACTGCAGGACTCTGAGTTTTTGATCTGCTCTTATAATCACAGTACTTATATAGGTTAGTAACATCTAAGATGTTGATCGTGGCCACTGAATGTCAAGGGGCAGAAGTGAATTCTTGGAAGGGAATTAAAGGCCATCAGTGTAGGTGAGAACATGGAATTCAAAACGCAACAGATCATTCATGAATTTATTGAACAGCGGAGCACGCTTTAGGAGCTGAATGGCTGACTTCTGTTCCTAATTCATACATCGGCCTTTATCTGCATGAGGATGACACGAAGAGTCTGCGCAGGGATACAGACAGGTTAAGTGAATGGGCAAAAACTTGGCAAATGGAATATTAAGTGGGAAAATATTAGGTTATACACTTTGGCAAAAACAATAGAAGAGATGAATATTATTTAAATAGAGAAAAATGTGCATAAAGCTATAGTGCAAAGGGATTTAGAAATTCTCATGAAAAAAAAATCACAAAAAGTTAGCATCCAAGTTCAGCAGGCAATAAGGAAGGCAAATGGAATGTTGGCCCTTATTTTAAAGGGAGCTGGTCTTCCCTTCACAGGCCGGTTCGCTGTCATACTTGCTACTGATAGAATCCCTACGGGGCAGATGAAGGCCATTTGGCCTGTCAGATTTGCACCAACCTCCTGTACAGTATCCCATTCTATCCCTGTAACCTTGCATTTACCATGGCTAATCCACCTAGCCTGCACACCCCGGACACTACGGGGCAATTTAGCATGGCTATCCACCTAACCTACAAATCTTTGGACTGTGGGAGGAAACCTGAGCACCCTGTGGAAACTCAAGCAGACATGGGAGAACATGCATACTCCATACAGTCACCCAAGGCTGGAATCGAACCTGCTGTGAGGCAGCAGTGCTAACCACTTTACTACAATGTCACCTCACGGAGTATGGGAATGGAGTATAAAAATGGGAAAGTCTTGCTAAAACTGTACAAGGCACCTGTGAGACCACACCTGAAATTCTACGAACAATTTGGATCCCTTTATTAAGAAAGTTATACTGGCATTGGAGGCAGTCCAAAGAATGCTAATTTGATTGATTCGGGGTATGGAAGGACTGTCTTATAAGGAAAGATTGCATAGGTTGGGCCTGTGCTCATTGGAGTTTAGAGGAATGAGAAGCAATCTTATTGAAACATACAAGATTCTTAGAGGCCATGACAGAGTATATGTGGAAAGGTTGTTTCGCCGTGTGGGACAGTCTAGGACCAGATCATTTACGGCAAAGATGAGGGTAAATTTCTTCTCAGAGATAAGTATATTCAAGGCTGAGACAGACAAATTTTCATCAGTAACAGAATCAAGCATTATAGGAATTGGAGTTGAAAACTACCACATCAGCCATGATCTCATTGAATGGTGGAGTAGACTCCATGGGCTGAATGGCCTGTTGCTACTCTTGTCTCCAATGATCTCCAGGCTACTGGATTACAACAAGGTGCAAGTTATTCTTCCTTTGTATGGGAGCCTCAGTTAGACGCCCATCTGAACAACTGCCATTTAGTTGAGAGCACCAAACCTTAGAACAGATATACAGGGGGTTCTGCTATTACATGTGTTCCAGCAACGTGAATTGGCTATAACACAACAAACGAATAGGGGACCGTTATTTCAAAAATGCAAACTTGTGTTGGCTTAAACAATTACATCGATGACCTTATTGTTGATGTTTTGGAAGATATTTTTAGAAAGTACTGCCGGAAAAAAATTTGGATTTCAAGATTCCCCTCATCCTGGATAATGCACCAAGCCATCCTCCCACCATTGGTGAGCTTTCTGAAAACATCAAAGTGCTATTTCTAACCACAAACACAACCTCTTTTCTTCCACCCATGGACCAGGATGCAAAAGCAGCCTTTAAAGCTTTCTATTTAGGGCGCACATTTAAGGAGCAGATAGCAGCCACTAATGGACGATAAGGACAGTGTTCCTCAACAAGAGCTCTAACATCAAGAATGATATTATCGTGAAAACCTGGGGTGACGTCAGTAAGGACTGCTTGCATGCAGTTTTGCAGAAGCTTCTCCCAGATTTTTTTTCAAGATTTTAAAACCTTTGATCCGTCAGAGGAGTTCCCAGAAATCAAAGAACATTGTGTTGATCTTGTAAAGCAAGTTGGATTTGAAGAAGTGGAGAGTGAAGAGGTTGAAGAGCTGCTTGAGTCCCACTGTGAAGATCCGTCTACAGCTGATCTACACAACTTGTTCCTGAGGGGGAAGTGGAAGCTGGAGATGGAGATGAAGTAGTAGTAGTCCAGGATACAACACCACGACAGCTTTCCACTTCTGTTTGGTCTTCTATCCTGGGGGAAATTGAGAAGTAGTTGCAGCTCTTCGAGGACAACGATTACAATGCACAACGCAGCAGAGTAGCAGTTCATGGAATAAGATCTTATTTGGCACCTTATGAACAGCTTCTTCATGAAAGAAGGAAAAGGACAAATCAGCAAAAACTGGATGTCTTTAACCCAACCCCCAAGAAACAGCCAGAAGACAATGAGCCACAATCATCCACTTCTGGATTAAGTATTTTTCACCCTAACCCTGCAACCACAACTGCACCTGAAGGTGATGATGGTGGTGGTGATGATGATGATGATGATGACGACCCTCAGCCCCTACTTTAACAACAGTGCAACCTCAAAACCTCCTCCCCCATCAAGTCATCTTGATATTTTTTCAAGGTAAGGTGTTAAAATTAATTTTATTTCATTATTAGATATGAATTAAACATTTATTCAAACTGTGCTATCCTTTGTGTTAGGCTTTTGATTTTGAGTGATTTTTCTGGTGGCCTGCCCCTAACCCTGCTTTCCCCATAGGCCCTGTTATTTCTATAGCGTGATTTGCTATAACGCAATGTTACGCAGGAACACAACTATCACATTATAACAGAACCCATACTGGCCTGGAGAAGGTACACTGAAGATAGACCAGAATGATACCGGGACCTGGGAAGGTTAAATTATGAGAGCAGATTTAGAAACTAGGCTTACATTCCTTTGAATTCAGATGATTAAGGAGTGATCTGATTAAGTTGTTTAAACTGCTCAAAAAGATTTAAAAGAGCAGACAGAGAGAAACTATTTCCTTTGATGGGGATATCAAGATCATGGGGATATTGACCTTAAAATTACACACAGGCAGTTCAACAATGAAATCACAAAGGGTTGTAAAAATCTAGACGTCTCTTTCTGAAGGCTTAGTGGATGCTCAGGGTGAAGTGCAGCTTTCAAGACTAAAATTTATTGATTTTTAGTAGAAAAGGATATCAAGGGATACGGAACAAAAGTGGATAGATGGAGTTGACGTACCGATCAGATGTAAGCTAATCGAACGGTGCACCTGACTCAAGGGGCTAAATAGCTACTCCTGTTCCTCTGAAATGGTTCAGCTGGACCATAAGAGACAGGAAAGAAAGGTAAATTACCTTAAAACTTGCCATTCAAAAAAATTGTGGGAATTGAAAGGAGCCCCTTGCTGCAGCAACCATCCAGACAGCTCATTTGCACATTCACACACAAACATAAGAGCAACTCCAGAAAACATGCTCAACAGAAAAAAAAATTGACAAAAACTATTTGTTTCAGCCAGATCCTAGATCATGCCATCCCCTTATTTTGTCTGATTGCAGACCTCAAACCAAATATATTTATTAAAAATTGCTAAGAGTCTCAATACTTGCACAGCTTCATAAAAAACAGTTTCACCGAGAAGCCAACTTAGGTTTGTTTCACCTCGCAAAGCAATACCCACCCCCCCGCCCCGCCCTTGTGGGAGCTGATCAATTTTCCACTTCTCTCCCAGATGTCCCTACAAGTCAGTAACATGCCACTCACACAAACAAGATTTCCTCGGCTTATCAAGTAAAATAAGTGACATACCCCAGTGGAAAGTTACTGTCTATAGCCCAAAGATTGCCAGTATCTAAAGGTCTGCTCTTTAACACACTCAGTCAGTTCACAGCTCTGTGATTCCTCTCCCTCCCTTGGCTGAGATTAGGGAAGCCTAGCAGCCATTCTTTATACCTAAGAGCAGAGAAGAAGACTATTCAGCACAGCTAAGCTCAGTTCTGCCCGAGGCGGGGACTTATGCACTTGTGTGGGGAGGTCAGAAAGCGGGAACAAGAATACCGACCCTACCCTGCCTCATCCCTGGCATCACCCCAACTCAGCTGAGCCTGAGAATAGAGATCAACTCTTCTGCTAACTGTGGACCAGACACCAATGACTAACCACATCAAATCACCCAAGGAGTGTGCCAAGCTGTTGCAGGGGGAATGATCCTGTGTGCACTCACAGCAATGGGGTTCAAGAATCAACTTTATTAGCCCAGAGCTCTGAATCCCTCTTCCTCTCTCCTGTCACCCCTTTCCCTCACTTATACAACCACACAAAATATTTTCCTACATTTAATGCTTAAAACCATCCCTTCACCCATTCTGTTTGTCTTCTTTGTTCTCCTTTCTCCCCTCCATTTCTAATTATTCTTGCATTGCCTCCCTATTCCATTTTTAATCCAGACTCCCAACACCCATCTCATTCATCACCTATTCCCCCACGCTCTATCAACTCACGGACCCATCTCCTCTCTCTTCCCCATTCCTAAAATCTCTGCAAAATTCACTGCTTTCGCCACACCACTCTCTCTCCATTCCTTACCCCTGCTTTCCTGCCCCCCAACTCTCCCTCTACATGCCCACCCGTGCTCATTCCAACCCAGTCCCCTCCGCGCTACCACCCTTATCCCTGCCACCCTCTCCTCATTTCTTTCCCTCAACCTCTCCGCATGCCAGTCTCTCACACCCTCCCTCTCTCTCTTCCCCCCAGTATTACCCTCTCTCTCTACCTCCCTCCCCATGTCCCCTCCCCCGCGGTCTCACCT